AGGGAAAAAAAAAAACAAAAACCAAAAACAGTGGGGACCAGGTTTGCTGGTCCAACAGAGCCAGGTGGAACCACTGAGACTGTGGCCACTAGCTGCCCTTCAGTTCTTGAATTGAACTCACACCTATGTTTTGCAGCCAAACAAAATAAAGGCATATGAGTTAAACCTTTACCTCAAGTAGATACACTCCTTGGAGAGAACAACCTTGGGAGAAAGAAGGGCTGCTTATGCACAGGGGGACAGGTCAGTGGGCAGGAGTGTATGGAGGGATGGACACTGGGAAGAGGTCAGTATTGGGTGGAAGTGGGAGGGGAGCTGTTGCATTGTCGTAAAGTCTGGTCCATGACATGAGACAAAGTATATGTGAACTGCTGTATAGAAAGTGAATTTGCTCTGTAAATCTTCACCCAAATCACAATAAAAAGAAAAAGTCCTCCTTTCGCAGAAAATATATTGAGACACTTTGGTACCGTCCTCTTTTATTAAGTGCGGATAAAACTTTTCACCTTGTAAAAGCCATATTCTAAGTCTTACCCTGATACTGATTTTGACCTGTGTGACTTTGAATCCCTCACTTTCCTGTTTATAAGAAACGTGTATAACTGGATCATGGCTCTAGCCTTCTAAGTGTACACATCCTGGCCTCCTCTTTTCATCATCACAAATGTTACCTCCTTGTGTGTAGATTACTTCTTACTAGCATAAGGATTCTGGCTCTCTGCTAGATGGATACTCATCTTCTGTATCCTTGTATATAGATATAGATGTCAGCTACATATCTAACCACCATGGCCATCTGTTGCCATGAAATACTGATGTATGCACCCGACACGGACCATGCCTATCTCTTCCTGGCTATGGATTCATGCTTCCAGGGTTTAAAAGCAATTCTGTCATTTCTTACTATGATGTGAATTAAGGGCTCTCACTTGAGACAGCCTGTCTTCTTCCTCTGGAAATGGATGCAAGCTTGACGTGAACAGCTTTCTGTTTACTAGTGATTTGTAACCTGGTAGCCAGATGCCCTAATCCTTTGTACAGGGTGCTACCTTCCTAACCCAAATCACTGTGGCCAAAAATGCAAAAGGACATTAATACAGAGGCCTTGAGAAACAAACACTTTCTCTTCCCCTCTGTCTCTATCCAGAGTTCCTAGAAGAGAAATACCACAAATGAGAGGCTTTGGAAAGAGAAATTTATTTTCTCAGGGATGAATAGGCTAGCAGTGCTATGGCAGGGCACCAGCTCTAAAGGAAGGCTTTCCCTGTTTTGTCTCTGGGAGAAGGTCCCCATTCTTTGGTTCCTGGTGATCTTCACTGGGTGTGGAATTTTCTTCTCCTGTCTCTGCTTGCCCTCTTCCTTGTTTAAGCTACTCCTCTCATATCTCAAAAGACACAAGACATCCTCTACACGAACACTGCCTCATCAACGTAATAAAGACAATGCATTCCTAAATGAGATTATAACTATAGATAACAGACTTTGAGTTGAAGAGACATATTTCTGGAAAACAGGAGTGAATCCAGAAGACCCTGTTTGGTAAGGATTCCAAGATGGGGTAAGGAGCATTCACCCTGTGTTTTACCGTGACATGGACAGAGTCTCTTACTCTCTGAATCATGACTCATCTCTTATAAGACACTGGTTGTAAAAGACATGCCCATGTTCTTAGTATGGATTGTGGGCATGCATGTATCTATGGATGCTGACCTCTTCTCCACTCTAACAGGATGCTAGCCTTCCAACTATATTACAGTTGGCTATTTCTCACCAGGATAGCAGTGAAGTTATTTGCTCTGTGAAATACAATCTTTGTGTCATTCTGTGGCTCTTCGTGCTTATGGTAGATAGATGGTATCATGGTTAAAGCATTCAGCCATCAGCCAAAATGTATGTTCTCAACAGGAGAAATATGAGACCGTGTGTTTCTTCAAGACTTACAAGCTTGGACGCATTATGGGGAGGTCCTAGTCTGTCCTCTAGTCTGGCAAAGAGTCAAAACAAACGTCATGGCCACTGGTTCGGTTTGATTTTTGTAACAGTCATGCCAATTCCTTCCTAGGAGATGGATTTGGGAAAGAGAGTGAGATTTTATATATATATATGTGTGTGTGTGTGTGTGTGTGTGTATTAATCTTTGTAGTTCATTTCTGCTTGCAGGAGACTGCTGGTGAGGTTCCTCAGGCAAGGCACAAACTTTCATTCTTCTCCCTGCCCACTCCAAGAAACCAGCAGGAACCCGCCTTTGGGACTGGTGAACGTAAATGTTCCGGACCAGTTTCAGATATTGGATAGTCCAAGGGGGAGAGGAAAGCCTAGGCTGAAGGGTGACTATGGAATCCATGCATGTGGGCATGCTCAGAGCTTTGAGTGTGTCCCCCTGTGCTGGCACCTGCGTGTGGCTTCAAGCGAAGGCAATGGATAGGGCCCAGAACCCCTGTGCACTGCCGGGTACCGGTCATGACCAGAGGCTGTTTGTATTCTGGCCTGGCGGGGTTGGGAGACAAGTGTCAGGTTTGATTCCTGGCCATCATCTCTAGGCGGTAGCATAGAGCGGTTCCCAGAGGAATGCCAGCCCTGCAGAGGCTGGTCCCAGGGCAAACTGGCGCCTCTGCTGTATCTCCAGAAGCGATTCGGATCATAGTGGAGGGATCCTGGCGGTCGGCGCCGCCTCCGCCGGCAAGAGTTAGCATTGGGGTAGGCGGGCATGGGTACGAAGGAAGGCAGGTTTCTTTCACCAGGTCCACGTCCACCTTCCGCAAGCCATCTCTCGCTGGCTGGTCTTGCATGACCACTCATGGGATCTTCCCTCACGCAGCTGTCCACCAGGTCGCGGCCAGGCAAGATCACACCCCAGGCGTCAGCCACGTGGGCCAACAGCAAGTGCGAGATCCCTCGGTGAGCGCATTCGTTCCAGTGCACGCCATCTTCCTGTCGGTGATGCCCAGAGTGCCGAAAGTGGAAATGCAAGTCCAGCACGTCAAAGCCTTGACTGCATGCCTCAGCTGCGGTATAGAAGTTGGCTTCCATCACATCCTCCCGCAGCCAAGCTGTTGGGGCCAGGCGCTCAGGTGGGAGGAAGCCTCCAGACACCCTGTGAGCCACAGGCATGGCTGTGTTCCACACTACCAGGCAAGACTCAGGCAGCACCTGATGTAAGCGCCAGAATAGGATTTCCAGGTTCTGCCGGTAGCTCCACAAGGATTCCTCTCCATACCTGGCCAGGTCCCAGAGGCAGGAGTTCATGACAACCACGTCTGGCCCGTGCTCGCCCCACAGCAGCTCTTCCAGGACACTCTCCAAGTACTGAGAGTAGGCGCGCGTGAGGAAGTAGAAGCGTACCAGGTGGTGAGCTGAGCGAAACTCGCGGACCTCGCGGTAGTTGGTCCCATTGTGCATGCGGCCCCTCTTGCCACCCTCCAGCAGCACATCATTCTCGAAACTCAGCTCGCCCTTGTCCTTCAGCTGACTGGGAGACAGCAGACAGTCCTTCTGTAGCAGGAGCACCAGGTCCTTGTACACGGCCCTCTGGACCGAGTCCCCCATGACAACCACATACTTATTGTGCAGCAGCTGCTGGACTTCTCTGGCCCTCAGGTGGACCATGTCGGCTGAGGGCGGCCTGCCTCCCACCTCCCCTCAGGCCGGATGCCGGGAGACCTCGGGAGCGAGGCGACGAGAGCAGGATGGCTTTTGAGAGAAAAACAGAGGCTCTCTGGCGGGCCTGCAGGGGGATGGGGACAAAAGCGCCTGAATTCTGCCAGCGACTGTGCCAGGGTGTGGCAGAGAGGAGAAAGGCAGGTAGCAGGCTAGGTCTTCAGCCCTTGTCCAAAGAACATTAGGCCCAAGATGTGACCTTTGAAGGGACTGCTCAGGCCCCGATGTCAGGCGTGGCTCCCCCTGGCGGTAGGCGGACGCACCAACACCATCTAGGCTTGCAAAGGTCTACTGAAGAGAGAATGGGCCAATGCAGCCGGTTGATACCTCCCTGCACTTTGTTCCAAGGCAAGGCCTTTACCCCTATGGGCCACTTGGGTCACTGCACCTCCCTCCTTTTCCCTTGCAGTCTTGCAAGAATGGGCGCCACTGCCCCTTCTTCACTGCCATTCCTGCTGCTGCTTCTGCTGCCTCTACTGTTAGGCTTTGACAGAGACCATCCCTGCCGGAGTACTCACATTTGTTGTTGTCTCATAGGCAATATATCCCAATGGGACAAGTAGGTGACCACCAGACCGAGAGCCCAGCCTCTAGAGCATCCGCATCCTGATTTGCAAACAGTGCTGAAGAGAGTACTCGGGTTAGAATACTCACTAAAGCAAACCACTTTTTCTTTAGTTAACATATTTTTTCCGCTCTTCTATGGCTGTCTTCCGTACCCTGTCCCCCAGTGTGGCTTCCCTGCACTTGTTAGAAATAACTAGAAAAGATCCTAATATGGGCTTCCCACTTGTCCCGACTTCCATGTTGCAAACCTCTCTTACGACACACAGTATGATGACCAGGGTGTAGACAGCCATGCCCTGAAGGTACCAGCCATAATGAACCCTCAAAGGAAACCTTCCTATGCCCTTTACCCATTTGCCCCCTGCACCCTGCCTCTTGACTGGAGGCTTGACAAGCGTAACAGTTCCCCATAACCTCAGTGTTGTCCCTTGCAGATGTCTATGTAAATCTAGGTGCACAGGTTACTCTTCCTTGTGGTCTTTGGGCATTCACCTTCCTTCCCTGGAAAACCTTCAAGAGGTCCCACTGTGTAAGCCTTGAGCATCGTCTTTGTATACTAAGGAAGAGTGAAACAGGCCTAGCTTAGATACATATCATCTGCTCTGTACATTTCCAAATGGGTGTTTTTGTGAAAATAGGATTTTAGTTTGTGTC